ACTTTCTGTTAGCTTTCCAGAAGTGGCTTTTACATTATGTGAGAGATCACATAAAACATGGAAATGGTTAGATAATGAAACATGGGGGAAATGAAATAAAGTGACCTCTGAATACAGCCCTAGTGGGACTGAGCCCAGAATTCTAGAGTAATATGTCTAACCGGTATGTAATGGACAGCACCTAGATCACTGCTATTGCACTTGTTGGCATCTGTATGTCTCGAGAGACAATGGAGTGCACCTCTGGGGGTGAAGTCAAACCGCTGGAGAATCACAGCTCCTACTGTGGCTGCAGAGACCAGTAATTTGTAACTGCTGCCTCCCATGTTGTTTTTTGTTGTGTTGGCAGAAGTGACGTCTTCAGGGTACAATCCTGGGCAGTTTGTATGGAGGTTCTGGGCTGCCCAGACCACAAGACACACACGCACACCTAGCCTTGCTGCTGTGGTCCGAAGGAAAGCAGAGCCACACATTTGGCAGAAGCTTGGCTGCAGGAGTTGCAAAAGGAGGCGTGCAAGATGCCATCCAACCATCTTAGGAACTCCACTCCAGATCTCTGTGGGGTTAACTCCTTACCGGTTCTTTTCCCAAAGATGTCCCACAAGGCAGCCGGTAATGCTTTTGCACTAAATAAATATTAACTGGTAGTGGCAGTAATAGACTTCTGACACATCTTTCATTCCAGCCTCTTTTCTTCCAATACTGAAATAGCATGGAGCCCAAGCTGGCATGAATCATATTTTGTGCAAGCAAATGTTTGCAGAGAAACAACAGATAGGAAGCTATCAACTTCCTGTCAAGTCCCTTATGTTCAGCTATCTGTGCTCCTAGATAGTGGCAGAGATAGGGATGGAATAAAGAAGACACAGAGCTACACATAACGATTTCTTTAAAAGGGTATAATTTGGAAAAGCTTTCCTATTTTCACTTTATTGGTTATTTTTAGTTGAACAGCTGTTCATTCTCTGTGCTGATATAAAATTTGTCCTCATCATTTCTGAAAGGGGGAGGGAGAAAAAATATTTCTCTGTTCCTGTAGCTGTAGAATTCAACTTTAGAGGTCACTTATTGTTTCCAAGTTCAATGTACTCTGGAAGGAATCTATATTCTTCTCATATGGTTGCTGGGCATGAAAGCAATCTCTAAATACTCAGAGGATAAAATGAGGTCAAACCTGCAATTCCGCCAGGCTGTCGTCTGTTGAAACCAACCCTCAGACCCTTTGCTTTGTTTCTCTCAATGCAGTTTAGAAAACATAGCACTGGGAAATTATTTCATGATAAACAGAAACTGAAAAGCACTCAGGAATCGGCAGCCTTGAGCTATTCCCCGAAGAAGAGTTGGGGGAATTTCAATTGGTCTGGTAATATTTTTTTTTGCTGTTGAATGAAAAGCTATTCCAAAACAAAACAAGAAATAACAATATTTTAGTGGCACCATTCGTAACATCTCATAACAGCATTTTCTTTTTAAAAAAAATATATATATTTTTAAAAATCCAAATAGAGATGCTTGATAAATTTGATTCATGGATTTTTGCACTTTTCCTACAATACAGTGCTTGGTTCCCAAAAAAGGGATGGGCACCCAAATGCGTTAAATATGTATATTTTGGGATAAAATACATTTATAACTGCATACATTAAAATAGGTATTTAAATGCAATTTGGGGGATAAAATAGTGTGCAAATTTTGTGCAGGCTGTTCTTTTTTTAAAAAAAATGCAGATTAATGTGAAAATGAGACAGAATGGGAATTATGAATTAACAGAACACATGCAAAACCAGCACAGAAGGATCCACCACCTACCCCTAATTGCAAACTCGCATCAACACAATGCCCACACGCCCAAATGTAACCTTTGTATGATTCTTGTTCCTGTGATGACACTTCTCTTTCTCAAGGTGGAAGTTGCTTAGTATATAATGGACTTGCGGCTATCCATTCTATGGAGTATTCTCACATGCCAAAACACCTATTATCGTCTGACCAAGCACAATAGATTATTGAGACAAATCCACAGAATAACACAAATACAGGGTTATTGAAGGAAGCATGGAGGTCAGATTCAAATTGCTGTTCTAAATAGAAATCCTATTGTTCATTAAGCCATCAAGAAATGAATTCAAGCCATTCTGCTTTTGGGGTTTTTCAGGGAGAAGAACCAGCCATGGACCACAGTAGAAGTTGTGGTAGGCAAAAATTAAGCATTAAAAGGCAAATGGCTCAAGCAATAACTACTGCATTGATAAAATAAGTTAATAAATAGTGACCATGAGATGAGTGAGGCTTGTGTACATTTTGTCATGAATGTTGGGCAGATCCACACCATGATTTTAAAGTACATTCAATGTACAGGGTGTCCCTAGAAGAATCCTGGAACTGTAGATTTTAGGGTGCTGGGAACTGTAGCTTTGTGAGGGAGAAACTGCACCCCCTAAGCAGAAGAAGCCCTCTCCTACTGCCATTGTCTCCTTCCCTCCTGTTTCAATTGCCCTCCCTTTGTGCTTAACCTTGGGGGAGATTATAAAGTGCACTGAAAAGTCTGTGCATCATTTCTGGTGACATCACGCTGTTTCCACTGTCATCATATTTAGTTCTGGCTGGATCAACTGCAAAACCACTGAAGAGCCTCAAGCAATGTGGCACACGGTGACACTTTAAAACCTATGAGTATTTCTGGCCAGAAAAACGGGAAAATATAAGAATGAATATATAAGACTTATGCTATCTGTTCAGATCACAAAAGCACTATTTTGGTGCCATACTGCACTCAGAAATAACTGACACAGATGGAATACTGTATAAAAATATTTGCAACACTCTCTTTGTAAGTGTGAACAAGGATATATAGAGCCAAGCAGTGAAAATTATGAGCATAATTTAAGAAAACTGTTTGCAGGCTGGGGGGAATTTGCGAAGGAGAAAAGGTAGCTGAGCATCTCAAATAGATGATTTTGTTCCCTGGGACAAAATGATAAAACACAATTGGATGACCTCAATTCCACTGATGATATTGCCCTGCTTAGCTAACACATTGCTCATTGGAAGAAAGGATCCTGCAGACACAGCAAGGCAAAGGATTTATGCATCAATAAGGCAAAGACAAACTGTACGGCTATCAGCACTACCAAAGAAACATGGGGTAGAACAAAGAGATTCTATGGAAAGTCACATTAGAGGAATGGTGATAGTGCTAGTAGCGACCCCATACAAGACGTACACCAAAGCCAACAAACAATTTTCTTTGACTTGAAAAGGCTTGATAGAGTGGAATGAGCAGATAAAACGTCATCCTCAGTGGTAATATCTTGCCTAGTCTGTTCAACAATAGCTGTCTTCAGATAGCTTTTGCAAACAGATTTTGGCATTTGTTACAAATTTGCTTACCTGGTCCAGAGAGGGACCACTCCCTCCACCCCCGTCCCACAACTGGGGTGATTTATATACGGTTCTGTGCCAATTATGTTTTTAGTTTGCAATGTGCAGATGAATAAAACTTGTGCAGTTTGCTTTGCTCAATTTTCATGTTTAAATCTGAATTCAGTATGGAAATATAGGATAGGGAGAATTGGATGGCAGGAAGATAGATATTAAATAAAGAGCAGTATGACCTGAGAAGAGCTTCAACCAAACACCAGTATCTATACAAATGCTACTTTAGACAAAAAGTAGCAGGGGAACATTATACCAGGAGAAAGCTTTTCACTTTCACTTTCTTATTTTTCTAAACTTAAATTCACTGCATATCTCAACAGCATGCAATTATTATTATTATTATTATTATTAAAAGGCCTCATGAAAATTCTTCAACATTTTAATGCATATTTCTCCACATATCATATCCATGTATCTGTAATTTTGCCAAATGCACATGTTTTTGCATGCAAATTCCCCTAATATAAAGCATTTTCATGTTTTGTACAGATGATGAACATGTTATTGTGAAAAAGTATAAACTGTTGAAAAGTCAAATGCAAGATAAATAAGTTAAAGATTAAGTGGGTGAGAAATTTTGCATATTATATACGGATGGAACTTTATTTAAGGTTGGGTTGCCATATTTCAATAAATAAAAGTCAGGTCACCCAAAAGTTACTGAGTTTTTTTAGACAAACCCCCAAAAGTTGTTGAGGTTTTCAATTGACTTGCCTAATATCCAGGACAAAGCACCGCCTTTTGGAAATTCCCCCTAACTTTACTAAACAGTAAGTCCATGCTTTTGTAACTGTTATACAGCCATAGACCCATAGGTCACATATTTAATGTTATTAAGCAACTGGGCCTAGATCTGCCCAGTTGGCAAGACCCCAAGACCCCCTATATTATGAGGCCCTGGCACTGAACATTGCAAAACAAGACTGTTAGCCCCCCATTTTGGGGGACTCAAATTTTAGAAAATGGAGAGAAGATGGCACAGAGTTGCTAAGCTTTTTTAGGGAAGAATTGACCAGAGTTGTTGAGCTTTTTGGGGGTGGGGACTGTGCAGGGTTGTTGAGCTTTCTTTCAGGGAATTTGCCGAAAATCATTCGCCCACACGCATCAAAAAATATGCTTCTCATCTGTCCCCTTGCTGGCAGAAGCTGCCAATCACCCGCCCAATTGCCGCAGCATCAACCAAACAACAACAGCCATTGACAGCCACAGCAGCAACCAATCAAACGTCCACCCATATATAAGATGACCCCCACTTTTTAGCTTTTTAAAACAAACAACAACAACAACCTAGTCTTATACACGGAAAAGTATGGTATGTTCAAGCATGCTGGGTTCCGCCCAACATTGTGGGAGCCCATCGCATGCATGGCCTGTGATGTCACAAAGTGGGAGGAGGTCTTAGTCGCAGCCGTGGGAGGGCCCAACAGAGCACACCACAGCCACAGGGGTGCCCGAAAGGGCCTGCCCAGCTGTGGAATATGGAGGGTGCCCTGCCCCATCAGTGAAAATAGGGCGGGGGCTCGGGCCCCCATGGTCCCGCATACATGGTGTGCTAGGATACATTTAAGGTGAAATGGTTTAACTTTATTGATTTCACTATCAAAAGAGAACACAGTCATTTCCCACGCCAAGCCTTTGTGCATCTCTAGATGTAGTAATGTTGCTTCCTGAGTAAACAGTTATTGGATTAAGCCACACACACACCTGGAAGAACAAAAAAAAAAGAGAGGATTATGTTATTTTTAGTATTTGAGTCATAGTAATGTATTTACCTTGTCCACAATGTCGCCTACTGTAATGTATCACACAAAGCTTTTGCTCTGTTATGCAGTCTGTAATTTTATTTTATCCTAATCCCCTTTTTCTGGTTGTGTTGTAAAAAAAAAAGATTGTGAGGATGCAATTAGTTTTAAAATAAATAAGAATTATTTTTTTAAAAGCCTTAAATGAAACACACCTTTTTGAACATTATAAGGAGCTGTTTATAACAGTGCCCTTGGCATCCAGAAGCATAGGAGGATATAGCCTACCCAATATGTTCTGTAAAAGGAATTCTACAAAAATTCTGCAGACCCTGCTTAGTCTACACACACATGAAGTCTGTTAGCTGTCAAACATTGTTCGCCTTCAGCAGGCTGTGAGCATGTGCTTTTTTTCTTGTGGGTATGAAAGGCATCATTCTGACATGACCTTATTTTAACATTGCTTACAAGGCAGTAAAAATGAGCTGGATCTCTTTCTCTTGGTCAGCAGTATGTTTGATCACCTATCATTCTTCGGTGCATTCTGATGCCCAGTAACTCAGCCACTTCTGGGAATTTAAACTCTGGAGACATTTAGGATAAAAGCACCAGACACTCTCAAGCTTCAACAAAAGAGGCAGGTTCTGTTGTTATCTGCCAAGCATGGCCCTGTAAATTTCACAGAGAGAGAGAGATGCAGTGTGTGCTCAAGTACAGAGCTGCAACATTTTGTTTGCAAAAAGATCAGAAGCTAAATATCTGGGATATATTATCACACTCGCATCAAACTCTTTAAAGTACCCCAGTGCTTATTGTGCCCTAGAAGATGAGAAAGTGTGTGGACTATGAATGGGGGTATATTTGCAAAATGTTGCCAACCCAAGTGTTTTTCGATTGGTTTTATATGCAGCACCTGTCTTTGTTTTAGCATTCCATGAAGGCTTGATTGTTTTATTATTTTTGGTTGGAATTTGCTTGTTTTAAAACAGATGTAGCTGCCCTAAGTGCGATACAGTTGAAGGATGGGATAAACCCTCAATCTATCTATCTATCATTTATCTTCAGATCTGAGTAATCATTGTTATTAGAAAGATCAGAAGAGACAACACACAAGGAAGTGTCACAGGGTCAGGCAGACTATCCCCACTTCTGCCATCAATGTACACTGCTGCTATGCCCCTCACCTCATCTGCATTTGCCGAGTTTGTGAAGAAACTTTACACATGCGCTGATGAATGTGTATAGGGCTCTCCTAGACAATAAGCCAACCAAATGTGAGTCCCCCTCACACTATACCTTTAGAGAACATTTGAAGCACATTCCTTCGCTCAAAAAGGTCTGGGCACTGTAGTTTGTTAAGGGTTACTTGGAATTTTAACTGTTTGACGGGTAAACTACGGTGCCCACAATTATTTGAGGAAAACTCTGAATGTGCTTTCCTGTGACCTGTCATGGATTTCCCCTGACACCTCTCCACCAACTAATTCAACCTTGCTTGGGAGACAGAACTCTGTGCACTTGCCCCAGCTGTCGTAGACTGACTGGATGAAGAGGAGTGGTGGGAGGCATCAGCTGGGGAACCCCTACGAGAACCCCCAGGGGAAGGAGGCTCAGAGCCAGGGGATTGGTGGTGGGATGACGATGTGTGGTCAGAGGGAGAAGAGGGAGCAGACTGGGGGGGGAGGTGTCAGAAGCTGAAGAGTCAACAGGATTTAGTGAGCAGGAAGAGGCTGTGGCAGAGAGCGGTCCAAACTCAGAGGCAGGAGAGGAGGGGGGACCAGGAGACAGAGATGTGGTAGGCTCCAGGGAGTCTCCACCTCCTGCTGCAACCATCTCCCCTCCTACCTTGTCTGCCAGAACAGTCAGATAAATGAAGAGGGTGGAGCAACGGGAGACAAGGTGATGGACTCTTAGGCTGCTGGGGAAGGAACCAGGGAGGGTTCTTAGAGAAGGGAAGGCAGAGACCTTCAGTCCTCGCAACTGCCTCGTTGAGGCAAGAGCTACTGGGAAGAGCTGCTGTGATCACTAGGTAGGCCTGCACTGCTTTGGTTTCTTTGCATCAAGTGTTAACTTCACTGATACCAGTGTCATTGTTTTTTATTGCTGACCTACTCCTGACAGCAGGCTGCCCAACCACTGGAGGAAGTGTGAATGCAACTGCGGGGAAGGTCCATGGAGACAGTCATCCTCATGCACCTTCAATCCCTGCAGCCTGCCAAACAGCTGAGGGAGCGCAGTTGCTAGCACCAATCAGCTACAGAGCAGATGGAGGCAGAGCACTTGAGATCCCATTTGCTTCCCCCTTCTATGCTGTCCAGCTGATTGGCTGTGGGAATAGCTGAGGAAAGTAATACGTGAAAGCAATACACCTGACTGGGTCTCAGGCATTCATCCGTCCCTTCCCATCGCTCCAGTACTCACATGTGAACGTGTGAGTTGTTTCCATTGAGAAGTACTGAGATTCAGGCATCTGGCGATATGATCCGTACTGGCTGTTGGAACCGTACTGGAAGTCATCACTGCACCCCAGACTGGGAGAAATAATCCATTCACTATTTTTTAACAATTCAGATTTGAGTGCCTAAAAGCTGTTGGAGTGTTTTAACAAGTTGTATTTAAGCAATCTTCGCTATGCATGGGGAGTGAAGTGCCTGGGTTCACATGGGGTTTATCAGCAAGCCCTAATCAAGCACTTTATTCACAAGCCCACACATCCTTCTCCAGCAGTTCTCATCTGACTGCCGTATACATCACTTGCTGGGATATTGGCCAATTTCTGATAATCGGGCTGTGAAATCCATCATTTGCCCTTCTATGAGTTAAACAAGGGTCTCCTTCCATCCACATCATTTCTGCGATCTGTTATCATAGCCAAATAACATATCATTGCAATTGGCTTTCAAGAGAGGCAGCGCTACAGCACAGTGTGCTGCGACAAAGTGGGCGCTTGCTTTTATTCCTAAACTGGCTCCCGCGCCTTTTCAGGAGGGACCACTTTGGGGCTTTGTGTTTCCAACCATTAGTAAAAGAGAAGGCAGGCCCAAGTGAAAGTATGAGGGTGTCAGGAGGGGAGGGGTTGTTCTCTGAAAACCTTACTCACAGCTGCAACAACAATATTTAGTGCTTGCTGAGAGGTTTTCTATCACCATCTATCTGCTCTGCACGTGAGCCTTCATAAGTCATTGCAGCCTTTTCAAAGATCTCACTATTCTGTTATCTATCAGTTCTCACTTATTGTCTTGGAGGCCTGTTATCAGGCGGAAAGGTAGGGTGCAAAAGCTGCAAATGGATAAATAAAATGAGATGCCTCTACTAGATAGTTTATAAAATGATGCATGACATTGAGAAAGTGAACAGAGAGAAGTTTCTCTCATAACGCTAGAATTCATGAGCATCCCATGAAGCTGCTTGACCACTGTAAGAACAGGATTCTGTACTAGATGGGCCACTGGCCTGATTCAGCAGAGTCATCTCATGTTCCTGTGTTAACCAAATTGGTAGCGTTACCTAATAGTTGGAGGAAATGTAGGCCTTTAAAGACAGCAACTGCATCAGCAATCAAAACTTTTAAAAATTAAAAAGCAATCATTAAGGCACTTGCAAAAAGACAACAACCAGAGGATAAAAGCACAAACCTCTGTCACTGCAAAATGGATTACACAAAATGGAAGTCTTAATTGTGCATCCTGGGAGAGGGTATTCCCCACTATGGTGAGATGTATATCTAATTAAATTGCAGCCATTGTTTCTAATGTTGCGCCTATACCTAGAAATTAGCATATGCAAATATTATGCAAATCTCTCTCCAACCCTCCTTGGGGAACTCAGTCAGGCTGTACTTGTGCCAATCTATTACCGTCAACTGTGTAGAGTAGCAGGAGTTTTCTTGGTATTGGTGCAGTCAGAAAGGTTCAAAAATGCAATGTAGAAGCTTCCCAGCATCACAAAACCCTCCTGTGTTGGTGGCAGATGCATGGAAAGAACACCCTCTTTAGGAAGAGTTATTAGTGTGTGTGTGACGGGGCTGTGCATTAGTTTAAGAGGCCACATGGGTAAGAGTCGTGAGCACAGAGCTCTAATAAAGCACTAATTGCCAGAGCGATGCGCTTAGCTCCGTTCTGAATGCTGTTCATCTTAGCGACCTCTTTTGTGTCTGAGACTAAGGAGAGGTGTTAATTACACTGTGCTCATTTCCAAGGCATAGATTACGATGTCTTCCTGCTGCCACAGAAGCAAGGGGGGGAACAAAGAACATTCATTTTTCATTTGGGAGAAAATAAAGCAGTTTAAAATCCCACCCCCAAATGACTTCTTTCCTTTTCAGAAAAATAAAATAATAAACACACTGTTCAGCATTTGCAAAAGACGTAATTAGTGGAGCTGGCACTGCAAAGAATCTGCACAGCCAGCCAGCCTCTTTACCTGTGCTTGTTAGCAGGCTGAACCCAATATAATCTTTCCCCATTATCTGATTGATTCACTTCAGTTCCTAAAGTGGGAGATTAAAATCCCAGTAAGCATTTTTCTTGCTGTTTAACCATATCACAAGTGTCTTCCCAGCTATTTCCTTTGTCTCTCTTTGATTCCTCTGATTGGTGTTAGCCCTGAATATTGGAAATGTGGCTTTCTTCACATTCCACTGGTGGCATTTTTGTAGCTGCGTTGTCAAAGTCTGAAAAGGAGACGAAGCCCACTAAATTCACAGAGAACTAAAAATGAGCTCAGATCAGCTTCTAATCAAGGATGAACAGCTTCGCTGGATCAGTTCTGATTCCAGCAAATTTGCCTGTTTTGATCTATAATGATGCTTAATCAACAGAACACTTGGTTGGGTGCCCCTTCAAGATATAAGAAGTATAAAGCCATTGCAAGGGGGATATCATATAATGAGTGGCCCAAAGTCCAGGTTGTTCATTTGCTACAATCAAACAGTAATAAGGGGAAGGGTGCTGGCTCACAGTCAGGGCACATGCTTTGTATGTAAAAGGCAACAGGTTGAATGCCTAGCATCTCCAGGCAGGGCAGGGCAAAGACCTCTGTCTAAAACTTTGGAGAGCTGCTCCAAGTCATTATAGACAATACCAAGCCAGATGGACATAAGAAGAGCCTGCTGGATCAAGCCAGTGACCCATTTGGTCCATCATCCCATTCTCACAGTGGCCAACCAGATACCTGTGGGAAACCTGCAAGCAGGATCTGAGCATAAGAACGCTTTCCCTTCCGGCAGCTTCCAGAAACTACTATTCAGAAGCAACTGTGTAGGCAGAGCATAGGCATCCTTTAAAGCCCTATACGGCCTAGGACCCTCGTACCTACGGGACCGCCTCTCCTGGTATGTCCAACGGAGGACCTTACGGTCTTCAAATAAAAACATCTTGGAGATCCCAGGCCACAGGGACGTTAGGCTGGCCTCAACCAGAGCCAAGGCTTTTTTGACCATGGCCCCGATCTGGTGGAACGCTCTGTGAGAAGAGACTAGGGCCCTGAGGGACTTGACATCTTTCCGCAGGGCCTGCAATAGAGAGCTGTTCCACCAGGCCTTTGGCAAAGGCACAGTCTGACCCCCTCTCTCCTTCTGTAATCCTCATAGAACTCTAGCCCAATGGTGGCCATTAATTTGAATCTGAATTGATTTTAGAATGTATTTCAATTCATTGACTGTGATTTTATGTAAATTGTGCTATTTTTATGGTTGTTAGCTATTCTGAGCCATTCTTTGGCTGGGGAGGGCGGGATATAAATAAAAATTTATTATTATTATTATTATTATTATTATTATTATTATCACGGCTAGTAGCCATTGATAGCTTTATCCTCCATTAATTTTCCCAGTCCTGTTTTAAAGCCATCCAAGTTGGTGACCATCACTACCTTCTGCAGGAGCAAGTTCCGTAGTTTATGTTATGAGTTTGTGTGTGCCAAACCAGTTGGTGGGGGGCAGGGGAAAAGTAGGCTGTATGCGAGGCCCTTCTAATTCCTGGATCCAGCAGAGATTCCATTGCTGCAATAGCCAGGCCACTAAAGATGAGTTCCAATCTATTGCTAAAGAGCTGGTTTTCCCTTGGGAAGGAGCGGTGCAATGGGGAAACCACTCAGACGCATGCTTTCTAGGCACAGCACAAGTGGAAGTGTGGACAAGCCCTAAGAAAGGAGCACCCAAAAGCTAAGCACCCATTGGGATGGAGGCTGCATTAATCCTTTAATCTGAAATGCCAGCGTTAAAGCAGGCAAGCCTAATCCATTCCAGGTCAAGACTGTGAGTGGAGGGGATAAAGACGCTATCAGGACAGATGTGGCGCTGAGACAAGGATGACGCTTTTCAGTGGGAGCAGTTCACACGGAAGCTCCAGAATGTTGAATAATGATCAAGGGATGGGAAGCTGAGTGATAGGAATGGTGATGTGCATCAGTCCCGCACTGCTGCTCCAGTGTGTTCCTTATTTGCAGATTTTGTTGTTGTTGTTTTCCAGCTGCCAACAGTAATGCTTAATAGCACCAGGCAATTCCATTTAGCTGTACTGTGTTACAGAAAGATTGGTGTTTATGCTTTGAAACAGTAGGCTTCAACAATGGAGAACAAGTATTTGGAGGTTTAGGAAGAATATGGTCAGCTATGAGCGCTCTGGCTGAAAAAGAAAAAGGAACTTCAAACGACGTCAGTCTATGGACTCAGCAAATAAAACACGTATTTTAAGTGCAATATACAATGTGATACTAGATGGTAATGGTGAGCCTTATGGAAAATTCAATGCATTTTTAAAAAACGCTTTAAAAAAACATTTTCAGAACAGTTTTTATATGTGTGTAGATTCCACCTATGTGGATTTCCATATTTGCTTATTAGCTGTTCTGCCACCTATCTGAGTTGGAAAATCTAAAATAAAAGGAGAGTGATTTGTCCTGATGCTACCAATGCTTGGTAATATGGTAAGATGTTATGTCCCTCTTCAACCCACATTCCCACTTGCAAGATATTTCTCCATATTGGAATGTTGATTGTCTGATATAATTCTCCATTTATAAATTCATTTTGTAAGCTTGGTATCAGTGGAGGGAAAGCAAGGTCTAACTGATAAAGAGGGTCTGACCCAATTTTTTTAACATCGCTTAGAGAGTAAAATTCTTGAATCTATGATCTATTGTTTTGGCTTCACTTATTTAGCTGAGGTGTGTGTGAGTGGGAGGGAGGGAGGGAATGAATTGTATTAAGTCTGAATTGTGTTAAGTGTGCAAAGTGCTTTCTAGCACCATCTCAGCACATTTCTTCTCTGGATGTTTGAACACCTTTGTGATAGTTACAAATGCAGCACAAATCCTGCTCCTTCCTGGAGTGTTCAAATGAAGGCTGCACAAGAGCTCAGCTCAGCCTGCCTTCCATTTTCCATCTCGACAACAAACTGCATCTCATTATCACACAGACAGAGTACCTAGCTATTCTACAATGTGTATAGAATAGCTTGCACAACCCCAGTGCATTGGTGACTGGGAGTGGCCACCAAAACCATATAACACCAGTCCTGAAAGACCTACATTGGCTCCTGGTATGTTTCCGAACACAATTCAAAGTCTTAGTGCTGACCTTTAAAGCCCTCAACAGCCTCGGCCCAGTATACCTGAAGGAGTGTCTCCACCCCCATCGTTCTGCGCCGAGGGCCTTCTGGCAGTTCGCTCACTGCGAGAAGTGAGGTTACAGGGAACCAGGCAGAAGGCTTTCTTGGTAGTGGCACCAGCCCTGTGAAACATCCTCCCATCAGATGTCAAGGAAATAAACAACTATCTGACTTTTAGAAGACATCTGAAGGCAGCCCTGTTTAGGGACGTTCTTAATGTTTGATGTTTTATTGTGTTTTTAATGTCCTGTTAGAAGCCGCCCAGAGTGGCTGGGGAGGCCCGACCAGATGGGTGGGGTATAAGTAATAAATTATTATTATTATTAGGACAAAGGGCAACCTCCAAATCCTCAGCAGACTCCAGACGGAGAGAACACCTCTTCCCCCTTTACTTTGGAACAGGTAACATCAGGGTTTGAGTTTGCTTTCCCTCTCTGGTTTTATTTTGTTTCCTTCCTACCTCTCCAAGCAAGGGACACATGCGTCTTCAGGTGAAGTGCTATTCCCATTTTGACTCCCTGTTGTGCCCTCCACATGTGTATCTGGCATCTATTACCCTCCCATCAGTTTCCCCTCCCCAGTCTTCCTTAATCACTTGCACTCTGCTCTACTTCTCTCGGAGCTCCTCCACACCTACAGAATGATATAAGTCCCTGGTAGCCAGCAGCAGGACTTTGTAGAGCAGCACTGCCACATTCAGAGCCATGCCACTTATGCCACCCAAAGGGGCTGTGATCTCAAGCAGGTCACGTGATTTGTGCAGGAGTGCGGACCCAGAAGGTGGTGTCCCGAATTTGTGCTGTGTTGTGTTAGAAGTTATGCATTGGCAATAGTTACGCATTGGCAATAATTGCCTGTCATTCCAGTGGGGGTGCTCAGGGAACCCCTCGACCTCATTCAAACCCCTTCCAGTGCAGCAGATCAGAGATTTGAAGTGTTCTCTTAATAACATAGTTCCCAGTCCAATCTGAATATATACCCAATCTGTCTATTTTTATAATGAGCTACATATTCTCTTATTCTGAATTCTGTGCTAATTCCCACTTCTTAGGAAACCCAATTTTTGCTATGACTCTTCAGTTAAAGATCTTAACACTTGGTGTTCAGTTATATTTGTTCATATACTATAACTTTTTCATTTAAAAAAATCAGAGGGGACCCACAGGCAATAATACCAATAAAACTTATCAGCAGACTACATTAATAAATAGTTTGAAAACATTTGTATTAGTGAATATTAATACATTAAAATTGTTAATACCATATGAAAACATATATTTCCACAATTCTTCATGAATCTTTGGTAGATCCTTCCTTTCATCCTGTTTGCTACTAAAATCAATGAAAGCAGACCAAGTTTCATAAAACTAATCTCTTTCCAAACATGGCTAGTTAGTTTTTCTGCCATTGTTTGGTTGGAGAACTGCATTGCAAAATTTGAGTAGGCGCAGGTTTTGTAGGATGGCTATGTTTGAGTTCTCTCTCTCTCTCTCTCTCTCTCTCCTGCAAATTTGATAAATCCACCTTTAAATACAAACTGAATTGAATCATCTTCCTCCATCCCTACTCCCAGGTAACTGAGGTGAGGATTGTGGGCTTAGTTTTGTGATTTCTATTAATAAAACAGTTCTCTCTCTCTCTCTCTCTCTCTCTCTCTAAAATAGTGTTAGCATACATAAATGTATTCCTCTGTTCCTCTGCTCCTCTTTTGGGGTTGCCATGAAAGCCTGCAATAATTTTTTTATAAAGAAAGTACCTGCCTCTCTTTGCTCTATCACATTCCACTTCTTATCCACTAGCAGCATGCAATTTCCATTAATGCAGCCTTCCCCTGCTCACTAGCACTCTCCAGCCATCTTTCCCCCAGCTCAGTTATCATGCAGTTCCTGAAATAGCCCAAGAAATTTTAAGTGTTCACTCTGGCAAGCCATCCAATTCCACTTGTACATTCATGCGAGGCATCCCGCTAATGAGGCAGAAGGGATTGTAGGCTGGCTGCTTCTTCGGGCTCAATATCTACTTTAACCCAACACTTGTAAAGTAGGTTGTATAATATTCCGAAGATATTCTTGAGGCTTGATTTCTCCCTGGCGACTTGCCGTGCTGATCAATGGCTATCAGACATGTATGACAGAAAAGCAATGTAGCTGCCACTCAGGGACCCGCTGCCTGCCTCATTGTCTGCTGAAAAGCCAGACACACAATCCAATTGAAAACCCTGAGCCCGTGCATAGAAGGGCACGTCTTAGTGGCTGTATTGGGAATCAGGTATATGAAGTGTACGATGATTGCCTAAAACACTCTGCTTTACTCCATTACAATGTCTGCCTCTCCCGGAAACACATGAACGTGCCTCATACCAAGACTTTCGCCACCATAAAACGTATCGCAGAGTTGAAGTGATGCATTAACTGCAGTAGAACATCAGTGTTACAAATACGAAAGTTCGCTCAAGGTCCTAATCCCAGAAATTCTCCCCACCTGCACCAATTGTCCCATTCTGAACTCTTGAGACTGTGCAGGACATCTCACACTTTTAACTACAGACGAACAGAAGGATAGCTAATGGACAAATCCTCCAAGGTTGGTTTGTTTGTGGATTTATCTTCTGCTTGTCAATCAAATGCACTTTCAAAGTGGGGTGAAATATTAAAGATGAAAATGCATTGTATTTTTAGTAGTTTAAAGAGGAGCAGGAGTAAGACAAGCAATATTAAATACTTAACATTTCTACAGTGCTTTTGAGCATTCAAAGCACTACACATGTATTATCTGGTTGTAATCCTTATAACAACCCTTCTAAGGTACTTCCGTATCGTCATCTCCCTTACTGCAGATGGGGAGACTGAGGCTGAGCATCTCCTCCTCTAAGGATATTAATATAATATAATAATAATAATAATAATAATAATAATAATAATAATAATATATCTTTATTGTCATTGCCCCCTTCGGGGACAACGAAATTACTTGACTGCTCCATAAAAACACTAATTAATCAATACAGTATAATACAGCAAGGGAGATTAGATGACTTTCAAAGTCCGGGCTTCCCATTCAGGGCCGAGATCGCTCTGGAGAAGAAGCTGTTCTTAAGACAGCTCGTTCTTGTCTTCATCGTCCTGTATCTCCGTCCCGATGGCAAGAGCTCGAAGAGACAGTGACCAGGATGCGATGGATCTTTTACTATGTCCAGTGCCTTCCTATGGCACCTTGTGGCATAAATCTGCTCTAAGGTGGAGAGTGGGCAGCCAACAATGCTCTCTGCTGCCTTAACAACCTTGCACAACCCCATCCTGTCCTGGGTAGTACAGCTTCCGTACCACACACATAAGCCATAAGTGAGCACGCTCTCAATGGCACAGTGATAGAAGGCAAGCAGCAGTTTCTGCGGAAGATGGTTTTTCCTTAAGTAAGTTTATGGAGGTGTGGGATTCAAAGCAGGGATTTTTTTTTTCCTTTGGAGCTCAGTCTCTTAGTCACTATGCTAAACCTGATATTCTAACACATGCAAAGAAAAATGCAAAACAAATCAGCAGCATTATCTTTAACAGCACAGAGAATAATGCTAACCATATTGAACTTCATCACAGAATTTGAATACTTAAATAAAAGGAAAACTTTACAGCTCAGTTCTATGCATATTTATCTGAAAGTCAGTCCAGTGCTTTTTTTTTCTAAAAAAATGTTTAGGGTTACTCTCATTTTCCTATACATATTGAAATACAGCCCCTCAATGAGGCCAAACTTAGATTCACAAAATGTTTAGGGGTGTGCATACCTCCATGCCCCCAAGAAAAAAGCACTGAGTACGTCCATGTGTACAGTAGGGTTTACTCCCTAGGCCATTTGCTTAGGATTGCAAAATTTTGGCCATGCTAGCTCAGGCTGATGTGAGTTGTAATCCACAACATTGGGAGGACACCATGTTGACTACTACTGGTCTGGATCCAGTATACCTGATGGAGTGGCTACTTCCATATATACCTCTCTGTCCCTAATCAACAGCAGAAAGTGAAGAATTTTTGCTGCTGTTGTTTCCTTCTTCAGAGTCTACATTGCTCTTGATTGTTGATACAGCATCCCTGGTTGCTGTCCTGCATTTCTGGATTCCATTACCAGTTGTGATTCACAATATTCAAGATCTTGGTTCAATTTGATTGGCAACTGAGGTTGAAATGCTAAACACAAGCCCCAACACATCCTACTCAACCTGGGAGATGGTGGCCAGTTGAGCTCTAGAACCCTAGGGAAAGTAAAGCTGTCTGGGTTCTGTGTTGTGTGTAGATTTGATCTCTTCTCTGCCTCTTCAGCAGTGTGATAGCCTGGTCCCAGGATTATGACAATATTAAGCATGTCACTGTAAAGCGTGTTCTCCCTAACAGAGAGCACGTGTTGCGGTTGGGGGAACAAGCCACCCTCACATTACTGGGCAGATTTGGAGGAACCCAAGCCTTTAAGTGGTTAAAATTGGGTTGCTGGGGAGTTTTGATTGTTGCCAATTTGGAGGAGGGGTCAGAGTCTTTAAATACAGGGGCCAGACGTTGGACGTCCTCTTGGCCGTTTTGCATCGGATCACCCACCCTCCCTCCCTTTAATAGGGTGGTTTTTTCTTGATCGCTTGACCTTGCTATGCCTGTCATGGGGTCGTCCGCCTTGGAGCGGGGGCCTGGTAGGAATTTTGCCATCTGGCTGATTGGCTGGTGCCATTTGGTTTTTGCCTACTGCGTAGCAAATCGTCACAACTTGTAAGGTTGGCGGTTAGGCATTGGTTAAATTGGTGCTTGGAGGGGTAAGTGCCTACCCCTCCAAATGATGCGGAAAGGGAATTCCATTAAAGGAATCCAGGGGCATGCCATTCTTTTCGTCCTTGTCCCTGGCATCGGACTTGGGCTGTGCAAGCCCCACAGGAACATGAGGGTGAGAAGTGAGGGACTGTTGCCCAGCTTCATTTTCTCACCCAATACTTGTTTCCCACGCTGGCTTCCGTTGGTGTCCAGAAGGGCCAGCTCTGTCCTTGAGGGCAAGGACAGATAGTCATAACCAATGCCTAAGCAACCACTCACATTTTTTGTATTTTGAATAAAGTTGTGGCCAAAATTATGCCAAAAACCTTAAACAAAA